TCGATGCGGCGGCATGTTTGCACCTTTCTTCTGCGCCACCGTCCCCTGTCTGCAGTACTACTGCGAGTACTGCTGGGCCGCCATCCACTCGCGGGCCGGCAGGGAGTTCCACAAACCCCTGGTGAAGGAAGGAGGCGACCGACCCCGTCACATCTCCTTCCGCTGGAACTGAGCAGACGAAGGGAGAGAGAGAGAGAGAGAAAGAGAGAGAGAGGCAACAGGGGAGCAGGAGGGCAGGTAGTGCAGGAGTCGCAAATCATTGTACAAATAAATGCACTTTTCTGTTGCTGGTTCCTTTGCTCTAATTTCACCAAACCTTTTTTTTTCCCTCATTTCTCCTTTGTTAAGTTAATATATATCTATATTTTAAAGATAGAAAAGAAAGAACTGGAAATATTTCCTAATATGTCCAGAAAGGAAAAAAAAGATGTTTAACATCATTTTATTTATGCGTTTGATTTTTTTTTTAATATATATTTTTATTCGTTTTTTTGAAACAAAAAAAGAAGCTTATTTAGGAACGTTTGAGGTGTGATATGGTACTCTGCTATTAATTGGCATATCTTTTTCCTCAACTGTATATTTGATTTTTTTTAAAATTATTTTTGGATACAAAATGTCCTGGAACAGCTTCTTCTACAAGTGACATTTTGGTTGACTCTTATTTCCGACACTTGTAGAAGAGCTGTTGCCTTTTGTTGTTCTACCGAGTGAGTCCGATGTAACGGCGTCTCTCATTGGCCGTGTGATTATTTTTTTTCTGTTGACACAAGAGAGCAAATATGGATATGAAAAAAAAAGGTGTTGCTAAAGAAGAGTGCACTTATTTCCAGTTTAGAGTACTGATATACTTTGTGAGACCTGTAGTTTGTTAACCAAAGCTGAATCTAACTCTGACAAAGCGGGGGAGGGGGAACGGGGGCGGGAGGGAAGGCTAGCCCACTGCAGAACGAAAATTATTTTGTTTTTCTTCCCCCACCACCAATTTACAAAAAACAACCCCCCCTCTCTTCTCACGGTGTCCCAAGTCCACGCAGACACTTCGACATTACTTGAAAAACCACAACACCAATTTTTTAGCAACACGTGATTTGGGTTCTGGTCTCCATTCTGACATGCAAAAACTAATACCTCAAACTCAGCTGCTAATGTGCCGAATACAGGTGAAGACAGAAAAGGAAAGGAAGAATAAAAGAAGGCGTCATCACCTCTGCTCCTCTTCTCCTTTCCTCGCGCTCAGAAGGGAAGTGATGCAATGGGCAGTGTGATGGCAGCGGTACAGTTTTGTACTCACTTGCTTCATCACCTCATTTTTGTAATTAAAAAAAAAACAAAAAACCGACAAACAAACCCAGGGGTTGTGTTCGGGTTGGGGCAGAGCATCGTGCAGTAACCAGTGTATGGGGCGGGGGGCGCTGTGAGCGAGAGAGAGAAGGTCCTTCATGTCTGCCTGTGGCCTCTGCTGCAGCCTCATACATGGATCAAATCCTCCTTCAGTGAAGCTCAGATACAGAGATTTAGGGACTTTAAGGTTCAGGAAACTCCTCGAAGGCCGGTCGACAAACGACCGACTTTTCTGCAGTTCACAGGGGGTTGCCGGCAAACAGGTAGTCAGTCGTCCCTTTTATTTCATTCACTGATGAAATAGATTAAAAAAAAATCCATTTGTGCAATTCTCCCAGTTCTCCAGCAGTAGAAGAAACGATGACAATGTATCGTCACAGCACACGTTTGAGTCCCGGAGGCGTCCGCTGCCCTCCGTCCTTTTCTCCTTAGCTCAGCCTACAGTGTTTTTGAAGCATAAATGAAGATAGTCTCTGCAGTGTGCCCACGCTACTACTACGACTACACACACGTGCGCACACACTCATGACCCACATGCAGATTGCTCTCTGTAACTAGAGGAAGCGAGTCCAGACGGTTTTTTTTCTGGAACCAAAGATGGCTGTGCAGTAGTGGGTCACACTGTAGCTCGTTTTCTTCTCTTGGATTTCTTTTTTTTTTTTTTATGTCTTTAATTTTTTAACAGATACTCGATGTGTCTTTCTGCCCTGTTTTACTGAAACTCCGTACACCACCACCACAACAACAACAACAACAACAAACCAAAGATTGGCCTTTAACATTTTGAGAGACAACAGAAACAGCCTGCTGGTTCCTGCAGCGACAACAGAAACACACCACCACCACATCATACAAACACACTTACAGACACACACACACACACACAAAGCCTCACTTTCCATCGCTCAAAATGGAAGTGAAAACTCGGCCGACACTTGTTCTTTCTGTTTTAAAGAAGTCTTTGGGAAACTCTACACGAAGTTGCACGTTCACGCGGCGGAAAAAAGTGAAACGAATCCTTGCGCTTGTTTTGACATTCGAGGTCACACTTGGCGGCACCCGACGGTGCCAAGCATCGAAATATGTCAGGGAGTTAGTACAGAAACTTGATTATTACACACTAGTGAGAATCCTCATATCGGCGTGGGCGTGTCCCGGCACCAGTTTTGCACCCTGGACATTAGTTTTGTGGGTGTGGTGGGTGAGCATTTTAGAAGTTCAAACACTTTGTGAAGAATTTGCTGTTAAATGAGATGATAAAAAAAAGATTATTTTATACATGGCCTGCTGATTTTTGGTACAGTGTTTTCTAGCTAAATTATTTTGTCATGCACATATAAACATTTATTATGCACTACTTTTTCTAAATAGTTTTTCTTTTTCCAACAGTCATTTTAGGCACATTTTTCACAAATGGGGAAACTCCTTTTTGCAATACCTCAATTTTTCACATTGTGAAAGGTAGCTTTTGTACTTTTGTTACTGAGAGATCTGCATATATGGAAATGTTCATTTTAAGAAAAAAAAAGTTGAGTGATTTCAATATATATTATTTTCAGTTATGCTTTTTATACATTTCAGTGCTGAGGAATCTTTACAACTAAGTGCGCACTTGTGTTGATGCGACTTCTGATCTGCAGAGGAGAGACCAAAGTGTATCGCTGTCTTGGTCTTAGCTTTTCGTACTCTTTCCTGGTCAATAACAGCATGGCGAGAGAAGAAGAAAAAGAATTGAGAAAAAAAAATAATAGAAAAACCAACAAAAAAAAGTTGTAATTTGAAATTGATGTTAATGTCTCTAAACTTGGCTTATACTAGTTGGAAATGGTAACTTCTGTCTTGGTTTCCTCTCCGTCGGCGGAGCATAACTTATTATAAGGAGAATGCAAATTTGGTTCAGGCTTAACACTGAATCTCTTATCACACAGATGGATGTTTGGTGTTTAGATATTTTACTATTTGAAAAAAAAAGTATAAATATATAAATATATATATATTCTTGAACTTGCCAACTAGCACCTATCGTAATCTGTAGCATGCATGACGAGAAAAAAAAAAAAGAGAAAATAACAAGTACATGAATTAGCTATTACAATTAATTGTTGTGGTGTGCACCAAATGTTTCTCAACTATTAAGTTGTTAAGGACACCCCCTCACCCCTCCCCCCAAAAAAACCCCACTCGCACCTCACCCAGCCCACACCCTCCCTCCCTCTCCCTCCCTCCCCCCCTCCACCAGTGTCGATCTCCTCGCTTTCCCCATTCGCAGACCTCTGCAGGATGCACATGACCGAGATATTTAAAGGCGAGAAACGAGACAGAATCTAATTTCAAAAATCGATTTGGGAGTATGCATGACTTTGAGCATCCTTATAGAACACTGTTTAAAAAAAGAAAATGACAACAAAAAAAAAAGACTTGAGAACTCATCCCCGCTGTTCTGTCGAGGTGATCTTATATAGACCTATCTGGAGGTAGGGGAGCTTAAAGACTTGAATGTGGTAAATGTTGCAAGTTAACTTCAAGTTGTTATGTGCAATACTTCTTTTGAACCTTTTTCCAGATAAAGACTCTTTGCAATGTAATTCTTTAATGCCATTTTTAATTGCAGACATTTAATTAAAGAAGATGTTAATATGTTTTTCACAGTCATTTTCTACTGTTATTGTAATCCTTTTCATGCTGGTGTTTGTAAAAAAGAAAAGAAATCAAACTATTTGTACTAATATAAATAATTGAAGTTATTTTTAAAACATTAAAAGGTTTTGTGCTCATTTGCTTATTTTTGTTCATTTTAAGCTACTGTGATTGATTGCATTGTAATTATTAGGTCAACAATGTATTTAGCTGTTTATTGGTATATTTTTAATTGGAATGTATAATTGATTTTTATAATTTTGATCAGATTTTTGTTATATTTTTGAGGTGAAGCTTTTAATATGTTAAAGTGTCTAGTTTTTACTAATTGCTATATTGTGCTCCACAATATATGGTTCACATTTTCTGAAGGAAAATAAATATTTAAATATTTGTCTGTTAATGTTACTTAATGGCAAGATTTCAATAGTTTTTAACTGTGTATGGGAAGGTTGTTGTATTTATTAATAGCATTTTTTTACTTAAGATATCACCTTAATTTTTATTGTCATTTCACTTTATAAGTTCCTATTTTTGTATTTTCCTTTCTAATTAAGTTATGTAATACGGATATGTCCATATTTCTAGGAGTTGGTCTGTAGAAGTGCTAGTGAAACGAAAAAGAAAAATCTAATGTTATTTAATTGTTTGCAGCCAACTATTTATAACAGTATGCATAATTTTTAAATATTTGTAATGTGAAATGTTGAATGAAATAAAACTTAACTGTGATGAAAAGAAATGTCTGGCGTGTGTTTTTTATTTTATTTTAAATATTTTATGCATCTAATTGTGAAAACATTGTGTCGTCATATTTGCCATGTTCGAATGTAAGCCACTAGAGGGCAGCATTGCACAGTTTTCGATTGCATGACGCTGGAATCTAGTGGCTGAGGAAGTCGATGCAAAATCTTAAAGCATACTCTTATTAAAATAATGTATATTTTAGTTTAAACAGTGACGCACTATTACACAAAACATAATTACGGCAACTCTCCTCCCCTCCCACCAAATTAATAGTAGTTAAATAGGACTATATTGACTTTGCAGAATGACGTACTGCTGTATTTATAGAGTAGTTTCCAGGCATTACACAGTTTACCTTATAACACGTATTCAAATTACGTTGTATCATATAGTTGCGTATTTATTCCCTACTGTTCTTTATCCAAGTTAATCCAAAATCCAGCGGCTAAAACACATTTCCTGTGTGTCTGCGTCCATTCCCTGCATCCTTGAACATTTAAATTTCTGGTTCCTTATTCCCTGCATCCTTGAACATTTAAATTCCTGGTTCCTTTTAAGGTACATATGTGTAATAGCTCATCAGTAAACTGCTTTTAAATAGGTGTGAGGTTTTCCTTCGTTCATTACTACTAAAAATGCTTATAAAAGAAATCTAAAATGAATCTTACACAAACAAAACAACTTTTACTGCACCACTGTTCCGCACTCCGCCCTTTTACTGGACTCGTATTCATTGTAAATACATCCGGTCCACCTGCTTCACTTTCACTCACACAGAGTCTAGGGAAAATAATTAAACCACATGTCACTAATGGCTCAGTTACACCACCTTCTGGTTAAATTCAGCATTACTACTACACAATACACAGACGCCACCTAATATTCTAGAATTGAGTAGAAAAAAAAACCACAGCTTTAAAGTGGAGTCGTTAGTTTTAACAAAGTTCAACCTTGTG